TGTCCCTGTGCATTCTCCACTCTATATTATAAAAGCTGTCCATGGTGGGAAGAAACCCTGCTGATGGACTTCTCTTCCTTGAGGTGAGCACAGTGGTCCCTTCTATTTGTTACATCTCTAAGTACTATTTCTTGTCTAAACAATCACCTGATGGCCAGGTTCAATGGGGAAAATATTGCCACCAGCCGAAGGCAAAAACATAAAATGGTGTTTAATATCTTGTATTCTTGAAGCTAGTTAAAAATTTATGTAAAAAAAAACAACTACTCCTTAAGATATTCGATCTACTCCACCCATCATATAAGGACAAGAAAGAATAACCAATCCTGGGCCATCGGCAATTCTGAATAACTTAAAGGATTCCTCATCTCTCCAACCAGTTTAGATCATCTGGAATCGATTAGTAGGAAATCAGCCAACTTCAGACCATCAATTTAGAGGTTTATATTCTCCTTAGTACAGATCCTTGGGATCTAGTTCCCTCTGTAATACCTAAATATGTTCTGCATTTCTTTAACCATCCTACCTCATCCCAGTTTTTTTTCCTTCGTGGGGAAGCCTCTTGAGTTGACAAACAGAATTGAACTCTTTCTTTGGCCAGAGGCAAGACCAATTTCAGAAAAGTCTTTCCCCTTCTATTTGGCCTCCTTCACTGGGCTCGATGGTAATCAGCATTTTCAGCAGCAGCGAGGAGAGCAGAGATGTGAATTTAATTTTCACCAAGATATTGATCTGACTGCACTGGGGCATTTTTTGGCTACTATTCAGAATCCAGTTGGTGATTCACCTGACAAACACAGTTAACACTTGAGTCATTCTTGCTGGCACTTAGTGTGCTCAGCCAACAAGCTGTACAGCTGGCAGTCTGTGTAGATTTGTTCTTCTGGCCTGTCATCTGAAAAGCCTGCCAGAATATTAAACAAACATTCTTTTTCTATACAGCTACTAAATACACAGCATACCGTGGTAACGTGGCATTAGCTTTGGCAATATTCAACACTTTCCAGCAGCGTGAAATGAGCTATTGAATTGTCCTGGAACAATCTTAATATCTTAGGCAGAAAGAATGGTTAGAACAAACTCAGAGTGGTTGCGCGGAAAATTTTAAATTATGGAAAGAGGACACTGGAGGCTTTGAAGTGAGACTAATGAGTAACAACCACTGGAGAGAATGGAAAGATGAAACCTGCTTGTATATAGCAGGTGGTCTTCCCTTCGCCAAAAAAAGAAATATGTGCCTACAAAGATCTAGGGCAGTATACAAATATTAGGAACACTTAGTTCTTTTCTGAAGTCAGGTTCCCCAAAAGCAGAAAATGAGACATGGGTTTATTTTATAAAGGAAATATTCCTAGGAAACACTGGTGAGGGAATGGAAGAAGAGACAAATAAATAAGAATGTGATTTTGGGGAAAGCCTTACCTCAAGCCAATGCAGTCAGCGAGCTTTGGAATGTAACTTTCGCCTCAGTGTCCCAAGTGCAAGGGAGAAGCACTTCAGACTCTTGCTCTAGTCATTGGCTCAGGGCTGCTTGGGCAGGGTGGGGATGGGGAAGAAATTACAGGCACTTTTGGATCTTTTGGGGGGATGGGACTTCCCCCCCCCCCAAAAAAAGGGGCTTAAGGGCAGGCCGCTGCTGAGTTGCAGGTGCAGGTCATTAGAAGAAAACACACAAGTGCCTGCGGAGACATTGAAGCCATCCAAAGGGATTTGAACGGACCACAGACATTATCTGCTGTAGTCCTATTTTCCACTGTGCCACTGGCCACCCTAAAGGAAAAACCATAAACATCCTCCTAATCTGAAAGATGGAATATTGTGAAACAGACTCTCTAGGTAGAAAAAGTGACTTATTCATTTGCACAGTATTTACTGAGCATCTGCTATATCTGCCACTCCCGGAGCTAAGCACTTAGATTTGAAGATGAATGGTTCTTTCCCTTGGATGTGATAAGAGTCATTTTCCACTTACGTATAAAAAGCTATGGAAAGAGCCCCCAAAGCAAAGTTGGTGGACCCAGTGGGCAGTGAGGACCACCAAACCTTGGACACATAAAGGAAATAGAATTGAGTTCATAATAGAGTAAAACAATTAATACTTATTTGATGACTGAAGAGAGCATGTTTTAAAAACTCCAGACGGAAGCACTTAAATAAAAAGAACAGTTTCTTCAATGGTCCACACCAAATGACATTATCTGCAATGCATAAAGTTAATTTTATAATAAAGACCAAGTAGACCTCAGGATTTATTCAAGTTCTGGTACTTGACTGCCATGAGGGCCACAGAAGAGCTAGCTCAGCTACCTAACTTGTGTTTAGTCATGTATTAACGGTCAAATGTTTTCTTAACCCATGGTTGTTGCAAAGAGCTCACAATGTCACTCAGTCAGATAGCATAGTCCATGCTCCATCCTGTCACATGATATTAGGGCCTCTAAGGTATGCTTCTCCTTAGTCTGCAATCACCCAAACCTTTCTCTTTTCTACCTTGCATAGCAGTTGCCTCGGTGTGGTTTTGCCTTTTCCACCAGACTCTGAGTCCCTTAAGGAATAGAATCCAATCTGATCCATCTCTTTACCCCTCACTGAGATCATATAGGGTCTGCGTGGGAGATGCTGCTAGATGACCACCAAATTCACTTTCTTTTCTTCCTGACACACAGGGGAACCATATATCCTAGTCAACCATACAGCTAGGTGTGGTCATCTGAGTTCTAGCCAATATTCCAGCACAGCACACAGTACCTCTTCTAGAATCGGTATGTAGAAATTTCCACTGATTCTTGTGCAAGGTCCTTTTTATAAAATCATAGCACTTCAGAAGCCACATGCTGAAGATGGTAGAGACACAAGATGAAAGGACCCTAAACCTCTGAATCACAGCTTGGAGGAGGCACATATCCACCCTTGTCAAAACCCTTCAAAGAGAGTCAGGAAGCTTTGACCAGGAATAGATGACAAAGATGTACTCAAGGGTCTTGGGGTTTCCAAACTAGAAACACCAATAGGCAATACCCAGTGCTCTGAAGGAGAAATAAAAGTGTGAGAATTTTATTGTACAAAGAACATTTTTGTGAAGAATCAGTTCTGCATTGTTAGCCCCTGGATTAGTTCAAAGCAGAATTCATCAGATATCCAATGATATAAATCAGATGTCCAGTCTAGTCAATGGAACATTTTCTTTGAGGTCATTCAGATGATTAACTGGATGTTTGGTGTATGTCCATGCATTCACACATAACATGCTACTGTGCACCCAGGCATTGATGTAGGACTGGAAAATTCAAAAGTTTTAAGTTTCCAGAGTCAGTTAAAACAAGAATAATCATTTCCTTATATCACAGTACACTTAAAGTTAATAACCGAACAGTATGACCACAGTGTCTTCATTGTATTTTTCACTCTATTCCTCACACTCCTCTGCTGCCCCACCAGTACCCTCCCAGTACCACAAACTTAGAGCCAACCTTCTTTGCTAAACCTCTGAAAATTGTTGTTTGTTGTTGTTATAGCAGTTACCTTACCTTAACTAAACAGTCTTGTCCATGTAGACTTTCAACAATATTTATGAAATGGAAATCTCCATAAGGCTCTGGTAGTCACTAAAGAAAACAGCAAGAGAGTTTTGAAATCTAGGTAAGACTCCAGATTTGGAACAATTTCTCCTTTATGTCAGGGAGAGGTGAAGATAAGGAATCACGTGCCTGCCAAGTAGGAGGGTGAGTTGTAGTTCTAAGACACTCCACCATGTCTCTTGCCTCGTCATTTATAAGCCTCATGGACCAGAGGTGGAGAAGCCCCACCTCTCCTAATCCATATAATCCCCTATTCCTTTACCACTCTAGAATCAGAGCAGAGTTCTAGAGAAAATACGGAAGGACAGAAGGTAGTATTTGCTGGTGGAAATAAACTGGGCTAGAGATAAAAGATCTGGGTCTGCCATTATTTTTCTGTGCAGCTTTGAACAAACTTCTTTTTCATCTCTGTGTTTCTTTTTTCTTTTCTGGAAATTCTGTTTTGAATCAGATTGTAAAGGGAGATGAGATACTCTCCATGATTTACTTCCTTTGGTTTTACTCTGGATGGGAGGCTCTTCAAAGTTCAAAGACTTGGCTTCTGGGGGGAGCATCAGTTCTTTAGGCTACTGGTGAGGAGGCCAGTGTTAGGACTGAAGGGGGGCAAAAATAAGACACTAATCCTGCCCTTAGTGTGTTTGCAGCTTGGAGGAAGCCACTTCCACCAACTCTGAGGCTACCTCTCCCACAAGAAACCCTTTGATCCCCTTCTCCATCCCGCCCCTACCGCCCTGCTGCATACGTAAACATAATAGGCACGTTTTTCATCCTTCAGGGTGCTGGCTAAGACAGAGAGATGTGATTATACAGTTGTGGAAATTTAGATAACATCCCCAATATTCAGCCTTCTGAGCTCCTCCTCCCTCCATAAACTTTACATATTGAAAGCTTTTGTAAACTAGTAAGGGAAAATGAAAGAAATCAAATCATTATTATTATAGTTTACTATTTAAAAGCTTGTCTCTTCTTAATTAGTGTTATGAGCGTGGTGATGATGATGATTATCTTTCTCTTATTGAGTGTGAAGGGAGCTATAGTCAGTCTTTTTACAAATATCATCTTAAATCCTCACATCAATTAATAATTATTACTGACATTTTACAATGAAATCTAAAATTTGTATTTTAAGTTATTTATCCAAGTTCATCAGTAAAGCAGGGATTAGAATTCAGAGTTTTCTGATTCCAAAATGATGCCTGCATTCCCAGTCATGAGCCACCCTCTCTTCCTTCTATTCTCATTGTCACTCCCAATATGCCCATCCCTGTTTCATGGTGTTTTTATTCATTTATCATTGGTTAATCCTGTTGTCTCAGGCTTTTAGCAAAGTGGTCATTTCTGTTCATTGGCTGAGACATTTATGGACAGCACAGGACATTATTTATTTGGTTCAGCTGCTTAAGTCTGGAGACATTCACATCTAGCTTAGCAAATAAGTACTGGGAAGAAAAACCCCACCATTATATTGAGAGATTAACAGACTAATCCTGTGGTTCGGGAGAGTATTTCTTCTCTTTCCTTTGTGAATGTAATAGAGAGGTGTGTGCTGAGAGATTTTAAGCACCTGAGAGCAGCAAAGACAAGTAGTGACTGTTCAGTTCACATAAGCCTTAGTGGGTTTGACATTTCCCCAAGGAATTAGCCAGGTGGTCCAGCTTAGATGGAGGGGAAAAATAAGGACCATCGAGCTTTGCTCAACCAAGGAGAGGAGAATGAACTGGTGAGTCTTCCCTTCTTTTTTCTAAAGTATATTTTATTGATTATGCTATTACAGTTGTCCCAACTTTCCCTTCTTTGCCCTCCTCTGTCTGGTATCCCCGCTTCCCTTCAGCAATCTCCCCCTTAGTTCATGTCCATGGATCGTGTGTGTAATTTCTTTGGCTTCTCCATTTCCTATACTATTCATAACATCCCTCTATTTTATTCTTACCAATTATGCTTCTTAATCCCTGCACCATTTCCCCCATCCCCTGCCTTCCTTCTTTCAGCTGATAACCCTCCAAGTGGTCTCCATATCTACGATTCTGTTCCTATTCTGGTTGTTTGCTTAGGGAGCGGGGAATTTTTTGGGGGGGGGTATTCAGTTGTTGATAGTTGTGAATCTGTTGCCTTTTTAATGGTCATGGTTTTGATCTTCTTTTTCTTAAATAAGTCCTTTTAACATTTTGTATAATAATGGTTTGGTGATGTTTCAGTCTTCTCAAAGTACCCAAGGCTGTGGGCAGGGGCTATTGAAGTGATGTTGGCTTTAGGACCTGGAGAGATTTCAGTCTGGTAAGTCTTGGGATCACAGGGCCCAGTTTTTTAGGGGGAGACCTGCAGGGGCTGAGAAAGTGTATCTTCTAGATGATGGCACAGTACCTTGGGTGCACCGGACTGCGTGAAGCCCGCTCCTCAGACATTATGCAGAGTAATCAGGTGCACTCTCGCATGGTACTCATTGAGGTGTTCTTCTGGGTCTTAATGCAGCTGGACAAACTCAGGCAAAAATTGAACTATTTTTTATGATTTCTAAGTTTTTGGTATGCATGTGTAACTCAGGCTTAGTGTGCTTTGGGCAGAAGTCATGCTAGTTGCACAGAGAGGTTTTAAGCACCAAGCACTGAAGAAGGAATAGAGTGGCCTGAGATTTAGCACACATTTAAAAAAAAATGTTCTTACTTCTGCAATTCTTTTACCCTCACTGCTTCTCTCACCAAATATAAAAATCTTCAGAAATAATCACTGAAAGCTTGCAAACTCCTACAGTGTCTATTGGGTGCTGACGAGTTGACCTTTATTATTGTATTTGGTCTGCAGAAATCAGAGAAGAAATTAATCTTATTTCTTGCCAAAGAAACCTGAGATCAGGAAGGTTGACTGACTTGCAAGGTCATCAACCTGCAAGGGACATGCTGGCTATCCAGCCCAGTCCAATGTGTCCCTGCTGCAATAACGTCTCTAGTTAGGCAATGAGAAAGGGAGACAAAAGGAGAGGGGCACGCGATGCAGAAGGTGCTCTCGGAGCAGTAAGAAGCCCGGGAGTTAGGGTTCATATATCAGAAGGGTGTCCGTTTCCTGTCTGGCCTCTCGGTCCCTACAAAGTCTGTAGGATATTCATCCATCTAACCTTGTTTGTTAACCTAAGGAAAACAAGCGATTTAATCACTTGCATTGTCCAATACAGCAATCCTGGCCATGTGGGGTTCTGAGCACTAGAAAAGCAGCCAGTTTGAAATGAAAGGTGCTATAGTGTAAAATGTACACAGGGTTTTGAAAAATTAGGTAAAATAGTGTAAAATATCTCATTTTACATTGGTTACATATTGAAATGACATTTTGGGTTTGTTGGGTTAAATAAAATATATTATGAAAATTAATTTCACCTGCTTCTTTAATGCGGCTTCTAGGAAATTCAGTAACCAACGAGGCTCACATCGGTTTGCCATTGATTTCGAGCGTGGTAAGGTACTTTGAAACCCTCCACACTGAAGGGATTCACTGAGTGTGTTCGCGGCAGAGTCACTCTGTGCCAATACTGATGTTTTGTGCAACCTGCAGATGAGTGTTCCTAAAAATCTTTGGCTCCTCTTTATTTTTCTCTAATTGGGTGATCTATCTGTAAAGTTTATAGCCTAGTATTTTAATTCCTTTAATCACAGAGGGAGTGTGGGTATCAAAGTATTAAATAACAGGCCAGGTGACACAGTTTACTTTTTTGTTGGTTATCAAACACTTCTGGAGATACCCACCGAAAAACCCTACCAGGAATCCTACTACGCTTATGTCATATTGTCAGGGCATGTCGGGGAGGGGAGGAGGTAGATTTCTCCTTCACAAATATTACTTGTGCGCTTGGGCACAGAGCACAGATGCAAATCCTATCCAGGTGTATCAGAGCCCGGGGTGAGGTAGGTAGACCTGGGGAAACAGGGGCCGCAAGCCGAGAGGAAGCTTCTACCTCCAGGCACCTGCTGTCCTGCAAGTCAACAGGGCCAGTGCTGTCAGCTCTTCGGTTTGAAAGGGAAGCCAGAAATCAGTATGCTTATGTAAAATAGGCTTATTATAAATTTTGGAAACAGTTTTCTTTTTTAATGATAATCGGTAGGCCAGACTAAACACGGGCATGGTCTAGTCCCAGCCTTCGGGAGCTGTCAGTCCATGACTTTTGCAGCCTCTCCCTGCTTGTTCTTACTTTCCCAAATGTTCCACAAAACCCTTTCTGACTTCTATTTGCGTTCATCATTTCAAGTGAACCATCACTGGTGATTGTGTGAGAGGATTTGAAATGAAAACAACGCACTGTTCAGGCAAATAGTAAATTCCTTCAGTCAAACACCCACGAAGAACCCAAGCAGGTGGGGAGGGCCTGTAGATTATTTAAGCGCAGTGGGAGTCATTTTGCTGAGCTCAGCATGTATATAAAGCACTGCACTGGCCTCCAGAGTTGAACCTTGTTGTCATTCTTATCTGCTGTTCTCTGGTTCTAACTCCTTCAGGAGAGGGAACAGCTCATTCTTCACAGGGCACGGTGCTAGGCACTTGACAAGCAGTATTTCATGTCACCCTCACAACAGCCCGTGTGATAGATACCCTACCTGTACAGGCCTTTATAGTTTTATCCAACCTCCTCTCTCCCACTCCTCATCCTCCCTGCTCCTAAGAAGCTCCAATGGTCTCCCATTTCTTCACCTGTGTTTTTCCTAAACATTTGCCCTGCCTAGATATTACATTATCCCCTCCAGTCACAGTCAACTCTTCTTGTTTTGTCCTGAGCTCTTCTCAGGATTCACAACTTCATTAATAGCCCACAGGATCCTTCACGACACCAGACCTCAAACGATCGCAGAGCCTTCCCACTGTGTAGCCCAATGTCTAATGGAAGGCCCTTTGGTCTCAAGCAGAGCTGGGTTTGAATTCCAGTCGAGAAGACAAGTTATTTAACCTCTCTGAGTCACTTGTAAAGTGTGGATAGTAATACCTACCATTCAGAATTGTGCGGAGGATTAAATGAGGCAATACAGCCTTTCCAAAATATCTACTGTAGGACAATGTTGTTACATAAAAAGTCTCCTTTTTCCCCCTATCAATTAGGTTTGAGAAATATTAGGTGAAACAGGTAGGCAGATAATAGCAGGGCCTCCCAGAGTATTTAATATATCATGGTTCTTTGTGAATTTCTAACGGGGGCATTACAATATGTCCCATTTGCCACACTTATCTATGCATGGAATCCTTTCTTTGTGTGTGTGTGTGTGCAATTTTTTGATGTCTTATGTTCCATGGAACCACCACAGGAAAGGGTGGGATGTTTTCAATTAATGAAAGCTGTTGTTTTATCACTATTACCCTTCTAGGAGAAAAAAGTCATTTATGTCTCTTTAGCCAGACCCTCTGAAGGTGCATTATGTGCCTATGAGCCTCTGTTTCAAGGTCTTCTCTGGCTATATTTGCCGCATTTACTTACTGAAAAAAATGGCCTGGAACCTGGCCCCTGAGGCAGAAGTCCTGCTTTATTCATATCAGTTGCAAAGCCCAAGCATCCATCAGTGCTCCCCCTCTGCACAGACAGTCACCCACGAAGTGTCAAAGTTACAAGTGGGACCAGCCCCAGAGGTACAATGGAGGACCCAGGACTGATAGAAGAGCACTTCGCTTCACGGTAACTTTTTTCTGGGAAAGGGTGGAGGAACCCTGGACTCTAACACAGCAGATATGGGCTTTGGTCAAGGCTCCGCTGCTAACTGTGTAGTTGTGGACACCTTTGTGGATCTTGCTAGTTGCCTGACTCAAAAGGTTTGTAACGGTGACAAAAAAAATGGGGAAAGTGCTATGAAATTATAAAGCATTCACTTACAAGCAGGGAGTCACAAGTTATATGTAATTTGAAAAATGCAGGGATACATAATTAAGTGAAATTGATATTGAGACTATTTCCCCTTTCTCTGATTAAACTTGGGGAATGATAATTGTTTGAGGTCTACCATTATAAAAGTAACTAATATGTGAAGAGTTGGTAAGAAAAGTCTGAAACTTGAAACATCTGAATTATTTTAAACAATGTCATATACTCCTCATCTTCCCTTAAAAGACAAAAAAACAAAACAAAAAAAAACAACACAGCACTCAAAAGATTAACATTGAAAATGAAAAAGTAAGCCCTTTTGGCTCTTTCCTGTCTTCAGTCAAATTTATAGTAACAACTTGGATGAAGGCAAACTTATCTAACCTTCAAATGACCCCTCACTATGAAGGAGAGACAACAATATAGGTGAGAGAATCAAGATTCAAAATGTTCTCTAGGCTGGATTATAGAAGAAAAACTGGCAAAATGTAATGTATCAGGCCTCAATATATTAGCGCCTAATCCACATATTAATCCTCGAGTTATTATTTATTTATTTTCTTATCTTTATTGTACTTGTTTTCCATCACCATTGAGTCCCATTATATCCCACTCCACACAACAATCACCAGGCTGTTGTCTATGTCTGTGAGTCCTTTTCCTTTTTGCTCAAAATTATTATCAAAATACAGGTGAGGATATTAATGACTGGAGCTTAGAAGATATTCATGGAAAAGCAATTGAAGTGCTTTATTTGGTTATGACTGCATTAGCTGCCAATATGGTATAGCTATAAAAAAAAATCAGTCCTTGAATGTCTTCACAGAAGTCTGTTGTAAAGAACAAAATAATAGTCCTGCTATAGTCTGTACTATTTAGGAAACCTCTAGGAAGTT